ATTATAAAAGGGTAAATTAAAAAATTTGAATAAAATTCGTTTATGGTTCAATATTTATTTTAAATTATTTATATATTTTTTAATATAATTACGTCAATAAATAATAGTAATGTATACTGAATATTTATCATTAACTATATATATATATATATATAAATACTACTTTTATAAGTATTATAAATAATAATAACATTATATAATAATAAATTTTGAATAAAATAATAATAGAGTATTATGATGAATAAAAGTAAATAAAATTAATATTTTTTATATTAAAAATAAATATGAGTTAAAATATTATTTATATTAATATGAATGGGTCTGCGAACTAATATATTTTTAAAATAAAGTTAAAAATAAATTTTAAGTAACAAGTCTACCCGTGCATCGAAAGGAATGTTCACTAGTCAACATAAAAACATAGCATTATATATATAAATTGATCTAATTATAATAAAAACAAGTTTAAAACACTAAAAATCTCTATTATATTTTTATAATTACATGTATTAATTATTCTGGAGTTGTCTAATTAAACATCCATATTAATCAATGACACAACATAAGTGGTTTTTCATAGATAATCTTTAACATCTCTAATGCAATTGGCCATTGTTTCTTATCTTTAATATACTTCATTATAACTTCAATTCACAAGATTTAGAAATGAAGAAACTTGAATTGGAAATATAGATAATATTTATTATTTGTGCCTGTGGTCTATATTGAAAATCAAATTTAGAGCATCTCTTACAAGAGGTTTTGGAATATGTTTGTAATTTTAAATCTGCAGGTTTTCCATAAGAATCAACAGCATTAAGGTTTGAAAATTCAAATCGAGATTTCAATTCTACACCTCCACAATAAAATAGACAACAACATCAACATACCCAGTATATTGCCAACTGGTTGGGTTCTGAGGGGTCGGTTGTACGCAGACCTTACCCTTGTAATTATATAAGGAGCTGTTTCTTTAGCGACCCAAGGTGCATTGCGTCGTTTGATATATTTTTTTTCTAGAAACTTCACTAATAGAAGAAACACTAGAATTTAGTTGAGTCATTTTGATCTAGTCCATTATTAGCACTATGGCAAGAAAATTGTCAACAATGACTCTTCCAGCCCCATTTGCAATGAAAATAGACAATAAAATGAAATAGGAAAGGTTGGTTAGGTGTGAATTACATTCCTTTAAATCAATTTATGTGTGTTTTTCATGCACACAAAGGCAGCCATCAAAGCTATATAGACAGGTAACTAAGCTCGTTTAGTCACGGTGAGATTCTAGGATCTAAAGATATCCACTTCCTTTTCCATTATCATTTTCAAGTAACTATGCTCGTTTAGTCACGGTTGAACAAGAAAATAGCTGTCGACCATGATATGACGAACATTTTAAAGGTTGAACTCAACTCGATAAAAGCAGCACAACTCAGATTCACAAAAGCTCGAGTCGGGTTGAATCAGTTGCAACCTTAAAGTAATATGCAATACTTCTCCATATCTCACAGCTGACCCCATTATTAGTAGGCAACTAAGAGTCATTAATTAGCCTAACAAAAGTGTAGACAGACATATCATGAGGGCACTATGTTTGTTCGCTTATGCATCCATAGAGCACTATATATGTTGGCTTGTGCATGCCTATCCTGGGAAAATGGGACTAATGATTAATATGTTTAACTGTCTGCAGAAGCGCATAGATAATTACGTCCGGAGACGAAGAAAACTATCCAATACTTGATCCAAGATCAGTCGATAAAAGCTCAAGTGGATAAAAGATCAGTCCATGGAAAACTCAAGGTGAAAAATAGCATGTTAGAGTTTTGAATTTCAAATTTACAGACAACAATAAGTATAAAAGTCATAACTTTGAGCTAACTGATTCAAAGTCAATAATTTTGAGCTAACTGATTCCTCCGAGTCAACCCATGTCAGAATTTAAAATTTACCGACAACATAAAAGTCAATAAATTTGTGCTAACTGATTTCTCCAGGTCAACCCTTGTCCGTAATTCTGCGATGCTTTGATGTACATTGTCTGATACTTGCACTTTAACATATAGTTCTATGATCTTTTAATAAACTGGGTCCATAGTTTTCTTTAGCCTTATGTTGTTCTTTGGCCTTAATATATCAGAGGCTTTTCTTCTAGTATTCATATTTTTCCAGCAGTCACATTAACTCCCGAAATACTGAAAATACTCTTCCAAAACATATTAAGATTAGACAAAAATACAATAAAGGAAAGAATTTGAAAGAGGTAAAAGTAAACAATGACAACATAGCTATAACGCAAAGAGCAGAAACTAGACATAACATGCAAAACATAAAGGTCACAAGAGATTCAATTATGTGTCGGCAACATCATCATCATCATAATAATAATAATAATGCAAGAGGCTTGCAGTAATGCAAATTGTAGGTACAAACATCTCGGGCAAGAGCTAGAGGAGCTTAAGGATCTTGAGAAGATGTAATAAACTAAAAGAAATAATGTGGTTTGACAACCTTCACAAGAACAAAACATTAACACACTACTTGTTCTGACAGCACCCATGAAATGATAGATCCAACATGGACAATTTCTTCCAATAAAAAATCTTGATGAAATTGGGAAAACACAATCTATTCATATACCTTGTCACAGATTGTCCGATATACCTCTGATATTCCAGAACCTCCAAACCAGTAGTCGGCCTCTGGTCAATTTCAGCGAACTGACAAAGGTTCTGCAAAGTCTAAAACGAAAGAAAATTTTGATTCGCATACTTATCAAAATACTTCAGTGGTTTGAATCATAGTGCTCACTGAAGAAGAATTATCGACGAGGGAAATAAGAATATTCCAAACCTCAGACAAACCCATTTTTGCAGGGAACTAAATTGTTCTTTTCGGACATTCGATATTGTTCACACTCAAAACACAATATACCCATCTCAAGAAGAAAATAGAGAGTAAAAATAGAACTGGAAAAATAAGCATACATGTCAATAATGTTAGTTGCATAGAACATCAACATAAAATCTACTTCCAATTTCCATAATTAAAAGTCCTTGTTAGTCATTTGTTTACTTTAGCTAGTTACAAGTGTGACTGTAAGCACGTATCTGAAGTCACACGTGTTGCCAGAAAAACCTCATGAAGTCACTACAAACTCCATTTGTCAGTGTGTCTTTGTCTTCATAACTCTTTTGAACCACTAGTACTTCTAGCAAACCTCTTCCCAGCAGACCTCTGTTCGACATTGCACAAAAGCTAGTTAAGTCATTATAGCCAGTGTTGAGATTAAGAAAGAAAAATGGCCACTTAAAACTAATGTGTGTGTGCGTAAAGAAGATGATGAAATGGAAAGCTAATAAAAGAGATCGAGAAAACACAACCAACTGAAACAGTTTCAGGATTAATTAAAGGAAGACCAGATATTTCACCTGCTTCCCAAAGTTGAATGGCACATATCTATGTTTGATCATATGTGTAATTTGCCTCTTCATGGTAAGGAAAAACAGAAAAACCCAGTAAAAGAATAAAATGGGCCAGAACACTGGGACATCGAAAACGGAGAAGAAAGTCATCATGAAGGCAACACAAAAAGCTTTTGTGATTGCATACCTGCAATAATAAGGCAATTAAGATATAATAAGTAGTCTTTTCAAGGAAAGGAATAAAAAAGAAAAAGAAAACAAACAAAATGCACACCATCTGGTAAGAGGTATATCTTACTCCAAAGAACATTAACCTTGTTTAAGGAAAAAAAAAAAAAGCCAGTTTTCTTTTCTTTTAAACATTTCGACATATTCAAAGCTATCAATGGCTTTCTATTACGCTGATTAATTAGCTAAAGAGTTATCAAGCAACGAAATCCGATAACAAATCAACAATTTTACCAAGCAGAGAATGGTTAGTTTCCTTTGTTATCTTTAGACCAGCCCAGATGAGGCCCTTAATCTAGAAAATCCACGGCGTAATTTCAAAACGCAAAAATACCACCTTTTTACTTTCTCGTTTGCAAGAATATCAACTTAGGTCGTAATATCAACTGTATTATAACTTATAAGTCATTGTTTTTGTCGTAAAAGACAAGGGTCGCGTTTTCACAAACACTGAAGCACAATGATAAGAAGTGACATTTTGTTAGTTCTTTCAAAAAATGAGATACATGGCAATTGTAAACATCCGTCATAAACCAAAATCAATGTGCATAGTAAGAAATCAAATAGATGGGAAACATAAGCACGTCCACAGACCCTAAACTTTAAAACCAAAGAAACTATATGCTAAATCCCCGCATATTCGGTAGCTCCCGCTGTATGAAACTGGCAGAAGCATTCAAAATTCGTATGATTTTCCATCTCCAAAGCATGACATTTCACTTGAAAGTAACACCGACGCATGTAACACATACACGAGACATTATCAGTTTTTGGTGTTCAAAATATTGGATGAAAAAGAAAAAGTTTCACACAATTGCAATTAGAATCTTAAAATATAAATCAAATTATCTATTAACCTAACCAGAACATGAACTCTGGCAGGCGGCGGATGAAGGGCCTGAACTCATGCGGATCTCTCATCGGCGAAGAAGCCCCGTCCAACGCTTCAAGCTCTGGATCAACTTTCGGGGACATAAACCCGATCAACAAATTCAAGATATATATTCCCAAGCCGTATGAGATCACGTAGAACCCTTGCACGTAATAAACGCGCAAGACATAAATAGAAGCTGCAGCAAGTGTGCCGAGCCACCTGTTGACTGTATGAGGGGCAGATCGGTCCAGATGACAGTGAAAAGCCCTCGAGAAGTCGTTCCTCCATTTGGCTAACGGCGATGAGGACACGGGAGGACTATCACTTCTAATCTCTTCCATCTTTTTACAGACAGTTTAGAACTGCAATCACACCCAAATTACCATGTATCAATCACTCTTAAAAACAGAGTGAATCCAGCAAACAGTGATTCACTGCTACGAATAAATCACTTTATCGTTAACAAATAAAAAATTCACAATGGAATTGATGAACATAGAGAAAACAAGTAAAGGAAAAAAGAGGTTCACAAAAACGAATAAATGCTCTGTGGATTGTTCTACCTAAATAGGGAAATCATACTAAAATCTGACTTGCATTAGGGTTTTTTCTACAAAGCAAGTGAATAGATTATATACATGCTACGGTCCCGTTACGGAACCATTCCGTCGGGTTTCTAATCGTTGATCATCATGTAACCATCGTCGGAGATAGTTGATCTTACGGCTACAAACCCCGACGGAATAGTTATGTAACAGGACCGTAGCATCTCCCTACTTTTAAAGTCCCATAAGCAGGTTCTTAAAAGCAATCAGGCATTATGTAATGCAATCGCAAGAAGAGACTACTGATCTTTGAGTCACTTCCACAGCAATTGCACCCCAAAACTTACAATTAGCTCGAATAATCAGATTAAGAGCAATGAATTCAACTACCCAACAAAATCATCAAACAAATATCCCGACCAACAATTCATTCATAAGTATCGATAACTCAATATGAAAAAAACTCAAACTTTCGCCATAAGCAATAACAGCGAGAAACAAACACATAATGATATGGACTCCAACGTCAATTCCACAGAAGGAATCTACAGATGAGAACACAAACAAAAGAGGTGCCTTTATCTGTTACCTGCGATTCAGTTCATCCAGTTGTTTGTAGCATGACTATATACTTGCAATTCCGAATTTCTCAGTCCCTCAACAAGACATACATATGTCAATAAAACCCTTAGGGCGGGTTACCTGCATTTTTAGGTCGGGTAAACCTGATTTTTTAATTTTATTATTTTAATAATGTATTAGCTCGTTTTTATTTTTGGAAGCTCGTTGATTCGTTTATATTAATATAAATAATATTCAAAAATTTATATTTGTTTTTTGATACAAGAATAGTAATTTTATTTGTTATTATTCACCGGAACTTAAATATTAATTTATTTTAAAATTTATCTCACATAGTTTCATTATTATTAGTTGTAGCACTTACAAAAGTAGTATTTTATTAATATAATGATAAGTATTTAATTTGCATTAATATTATTTTTTGATGTAATTAATATGAAAATATATAAAAAAAAATTAATAAATATTATGCTATATATGCATTCTATTGGAATTTTAGAATTTATCTTGTCTCATAAGAATTAAAAATAAAATTATATAAATTTGATTTTATGACAACATAAAATATAATAAGCCTAATGTTTTATTTAATCCTTGTAAGTAGATACTTTTTCATGATGTGGTAGGTTATATGGAAGTTAAGATAAAATGGAATGTATCTAAAAAATCTATATGTGAACTTTTTTCTTTTAAATGTTTTTTTTTCTCAACATTTTCAAAAACACATTTAAGCGGGATATTTCACAATTTTCAAAAACATTATTAAATTTAGTATATATTTAGGCGGGATTCCTATTTTTTTTAGTTACTATTAAGGTTCTTTGAGTTGTCTCTTTATATAATAATAGATAGATTCTACTATGAGAGATGATGTGATGTTATTGACAGAGATTAAATTTATTTTGTATTATATATTTTTTTAACTACTTTGTAGTTTTTTTATTATTACTATTTTATTAATCGAGAGTTCTGAATTTCCACAAATTTTAAGAAGTCCTTAATCAAATTGTTTTTGGTTAAGATGAAATTCAATAATTTCCAAGAAAATGAGCTACTTTATTTATAAAAATTATGTTGCTTAAATGTAGATTTTCGAGGAGTCTAGCCCTCGAACCTACTGTGAAGCATCTGTATAATTTGTCACTTTCTGAACGAAGGTGGGTGTCCCTAATTTACTATGCCTTTATTCATTATAATCGCATGGTTCTATAATTAATGTATGTATATGAATCATGTGCTTAATGAGAGGTTGTGAATCACCATTGGGCTGATGAAAGGCATTCATTGAACTCCCATCGATGAGTGCGGTTTCGACCACGACGGTGCCTAATGAAAGGCAATCTCCATTTTCTTAATGAGAGGCAGTTCCTAATGAGAGGCATTCGGTTGTGCTCCCGTCGTTGGATGCGGTTTCAACCACGACGGTTTAAGGTGTGTACACATGAGACGGATGGATTAGATGGAGAAGTGTGTGATGTGACAATTATGATTTATGCTCATACTGCGATATTATTTGTTATTATACTGAGTAATTGAAATAGTAATTCCCACGGTGAGCTAGTTGATTGCTCACCCCACTATTATATCTTTTCAAGTTGAGTAGTTGACTGCGGTTAAGAGGAGACGAGCGTGGTATTTATTTATGTTATGTGTTTTATTTGCTTCTGCAAATGTTTTCAGAGTTGTGTTGTTTTTACTAATGGATGTTGTTGAAACTATGAATATGACTTTTTGTTTCGAGACTGTTTATGAATGAATGTTTTATTATGTCTCGAGTTGTTGAAAATGAATGGTTTGGAAAAATGAAATTTCTAAGAGCTTAAAGGACGACTTAAGCTAAGTTCAAAAAGAAAGAAGAAGTTTTTGAGTATCGAAAAGTGTTTTATTTTGAAAAATGTTTTCAAAGTTTCAAATATTTTATGAAAATTGAGTGTTTTCTAAAGGAAAAATAAGAGGGCGTTACATTTGGTTTCTTATGTCCTGTTTTGTATGAATTTCTAATTCGGTACATAAATTGTAGTAGTATACGAATTTTCAAGTATAGTTTGTAATTGTGAATAGAGAACAAGAAGCTAACATGACCCCAACCCATGATTTCTCGTATGGATGGATGTTCCAATCCAATTTTATTGACAGTCTCTACTTGGTCATTCCGTGTATAACTCAATCTATGAGAAGAAGTAATATTCAATCCGCCACTTGAGCTGATTCCTCATAGAAGTAATATTCAACTATTCTAGTATGCAATGCATACAACCTTCATGAAGTAAGAGAATGACTTAATAAAATAAAAGAGACATCAAGCAATATCATGCGATAACAAACAATTCAAAAGAATTCGACAAAATGTACAACAATATGCAACCCAATTAAATGGTTGGGTATGCCATGGTTATTTGCAATTTAGTAAAAAGTCATGATTTTTGAAGCAATTAAGCCTTTATAATATCTATCGTTTCGAAAAAAAAAAGTATTTAAACAACTTTAGTAATAAAAAAAAATGAATGAATTTTAGTTTACCTTAAGGGGTCGTTTACTTTGAAGGACAGGATTACACTAAATAATCCGGTCCACTTTACAGGTCAGCTTTGTGTCCCTCGTTTACTTTGTGTTATGCAGCTTTCCGAAACAAATCTACCGTTTACTTTGTAGGACTAAGTGATAAGTTAACTGTTCAAATGTCAAATGTGCCCCTGCAATATAAGATGTCCAAATGAAGTACACTTTCATTTTCGAACGAGCTCAGCCCTCTTTTGAAATTCCACAGAAACCTAATTGTAGTCGAGAGCTCGGTCGACAGCAAGGTACGAGCGCGACATTCAGACAACGACCGGCGAGTGAAGACTGAAGCGGACGACTTTTCTCCGGTACTGTGGGCTGCGTGTTCTGAAGGGGACGACGGGCGAGTGAAGATATAGACGACGACTGACGAGGCTAACGGTACACCAACAAACCCTAATTTTTTACATTAAATTGTTCGATTTTCGTCATCTTGTTGATTTTCGAAACCCTAGGTTCACATTTCGTAGGCCAATAATAGGAATTATGAAATCCCCAAATTAGAAAAAAAAACTCGCATTTTGGAACCCTATGTACGTACGGATGCGTTTTTGAACCATCCGAAATTTGGAAGCATGGCAATTTGTAATGAAAATGATTGTCCGTATGAGAAGTTACCCTGTTTGAATTCATTTCAGTTGTATTTACCTCCATGTGGGAGAAATTGTCTTCTTGGTTAATCTTTGACATTAATTTATTTTCTTTGGGCAGTTATTCTCATTTCAGATATGTCCTTCTTGCTGTGGTTCTGAATGATTATGTTCATATGTCGTAGTAATTACCTCTTGCCGTCTGAATCCATGTATTTCATCATATTCCAGTTGTGATGTGTTCTGAAGGATGATATGTATATGACGAACCGGAGGATTATTGAGTGGTGGTGGTGTTTGTGTGTGGCCAATGGGCTCATTGGTTTAGTTGGGTAGTGTTTTTTATTTGGGTTTGTTATGATGGCTTGTGATTGAACTCTGAAGACATCTTTTAATGTGTGTGTTGAAACTTGGTTTTTGTGGTTTTGTTATTATGTTGTATGAAATTTCCTGTTTTAGAGGCGTGTGCACTCTTTGATGATTGATTAGTAGTTATTACACTTTTTATGGGTTTACTTAAGGGTCTTTATTATTCTGTATACATATAACTGTAGAAGATTTTCGAACTATGATATTTTTCTATTTAGTAGTTTACTACTGTACAAAACACATACATACATCCATTCTCTTGTCACACACTCTAAAACAGGATGAACAGAGAAGTTGGAAACTTGGAATTTGATTCCATTTGTCACTGAAGCCTCAAAATCCTGCCTCTGATTTTAAGTGTTTCTATCTTGACTGTTGAGTGAGTAAAGTTAGATGCATTCGGCTCATTAGTGATGGATGTTGAGATATCACAGACTGCTGGAAAATCAGTTTTAAGCTTTGTTATGGATTTGCTATGACTGTGAGGAAGAATTTAATGGTTCTTTGTGTGCCTTTTGTAATTTTGTAATTTGACGTTTATATGGGAAACTGAAGTTTCTTTGTGTGCCTTTTCATGGATATATGTTATATCAACTATATATATGTTTTAGTTTCGAGGACTATGAAAAGTGCTAAGATTTTGTTTACCATAATC